GGCGAGCACTGCGCCTGCGCGGAGCCGGCGCCTGCGCGGAGCCTGCGCCGGGCAGGGCAGGGTAGGCCGCGGGCAGAGGGGGGCTCCGGGGGGACAGGGGTCCGCATCGCCCCGATCACCGGGGCTGCGATGCGCTCAGGCCTGTCCCCATCCAGCACGGGGCCTCCGGGAGCGCTCCGCAGCTCTGGGGGTAAAGGCAAGGCCTGTCGTGGGGCAGGGCCAGGCGGCTCCTGCAGCCTCCCGGAGCCCCGGCCTGCTTTGGCCTTAAATAAATATCGGTGGTCGCTAAACCTGGCACGGTCGAGCCGCCTGCTGCTTGGCTGCCGTCCTGCAGAAGTCACACAGGGGTGAGGTGGCATCTCGGGGAGGGCAGAGTACTAACCAAACGATCACAAGAAACCCTTGGAATGATGGAAGACAGGTCTTACTTTTCCTCCTGTTCCACCAGTTTCCTGGTTTTCAGGATTTGGCAGCATTTTGTGTGCTATTAAATCTTTTGTTCTGACTCTCCCAGAGTCGTGCGGCAGTGGTGAGTTACGGCGCTGGTGAGGGACTGAAAGCCAGCAGGCACCAACGGTTCTGTGCAATTAGAGGGGACTGGGGAGCTTTAGGTCCTCACGCTCAATCAAAAGAGACTTCTAAAGGTCAGTAGCTATAAACACTTGTAAAGCTCTATAATTAATAATAACAGGCTAGTTTTATATATTCATCTCTGACACATCAATCTGCAATTCAGTTTGATAGTGTTCTTTTCAGATGAAATAGTTCTCTTGTGCTTATAACCCTTTTTGAGTGGATTAGGAGAATCAAAGTTTCCCATAAAAGCTTAAGCTTAATAGAAGTCGGATCAAAACTGGAGCAAGCCTATAGTCCAAACTCCAGGTCCTTGGTTGGGGATGTGGATGTTAGAAATAGTATCTGCTTTGTGTCACAGATTTAGCTGTACTTGCCAGCCACAACGATGGACAGCGAAGTGCAAAGGGATGGCAGAATCCTGGATTTGATCGATGATGCATGGAGGGAAGATAAATTGCCGTATGAGGATGTGGCTATCCCTCTGGTAGGTGAATTGCTACTTATCAATCTGAGTTACGGCTGTTGTGTTTATCACAGTCCCTTCCAAGAAACGGCACAGACAGTATTGTTTGCGGTGCACCTGATTCGTACAAAAGGTTCCCAGGATGGATCTGACTCACTCTTTTCTTGTCCTATATGCCAGTCATTCCTGTGTACACGTAAGGATGTGGATGATTCTCTCCCCATTCCCCTGACTGGTTCCCAAATCTCCTTGGAACTGGAATGCCCTTCCCATCGCACGATTCTGGGTTTGGCATCAGGGAGGAGTAAAATTGTCCTTTCTCTGTGCTTCCCCTTCATGTTAATAGTGTTTGAAGCGGTTTCCCAGTTGGTGTGTAGAACAGAGAGGTTTAGTCTCATGCTGACAGTTGCAGTCTTGGTTACACTTTGTTTCCACTTTCTGAAATTCCATTAAAAGAAGCTGAAAAATTTTCAAATGTTTTCCTAATCAGTCTCTTCCAGATACAGTGTTGCCGTTGTGAATTCAAGGATAGAAATGAATGAACTGGCATCCGCAGTAGGACTCTTGCTTGTAGCCCTGCATCCAATGCATGGCAGCTGTCTTTTCAGCCAGTATACACCTTGTTGTACAGCTACAAGGCCAGAGAGGTGCAGCTGGGGAAAAAAAGTTTCATCTGATCCCACAAAGACCAGAGCTGAAGCTTCAGATCTCCCACAATGACACCTTGCCTTAGTCATTTTGAAACCACCAGAGAAGTGAGAGGTATCTGAAAGTTTTCCCTTTCCTTATTCCCTCTGGTACACAGGCTTTAGCCTGGCTGGGGGCGGCTAGTTTCTTTTAGCACAGAGACATTTCCAAATTGCTAGTGACATGACTCAAGCTTTAGCCCTTCCACTACTGTCTTTTCAGAGGATGAGGAGCAGCTACACATCTCCAAAATCCATATATACAGCATACAAGTTTTCCTGCCAAGATCTGGGCTTGAAGAAGGGATGTTGCAGAACTGTGATCCTCAGATCCAAGAGCCCAAACCCCCCTTTGCTTGGGATAGCCTCTATTAGGCAGGCTGAGTATTATAAACTAGTTCCTTGGTGACATTTGCCTTTACCTTGTGGCCAAACGTTACTGTTTCTTTCCTTACAGCCATCTCTTGAGCTACTTACAGTTACATACAGAGGGCAGCCTCAGAGCAGGAAGCCTCATCAACTAACAATAGAAAGAAGGGCCTGACTGTGGATATAAAGATCCCTAGGGATGGGATTGGCTCTGATCACATAGAAAAAACATCACAGATTCACAGGAGACTTACTCAGGGGCATTGTTAAGGAGCAAACAATGGCTGTAAAGTGGTATTTGAGCCTGTCCTGAGCATCTGATCCAGTGTTCACAAGAGAGACTCCTATGAACTCAAATGGGACTCGAATCATATGCTGTTTTCAAAACTGAAAAAATTTATTTAGCTCACGCTGGGATTTCCAGAGACGTAGAACTCAGAATTCTTGCCCAAATGGTATCTGGCAGAATAACAAGCACTCTGTGTGACAGCACCAATACGGCAACACAGAGAACAAATAATATAAGGAAGGAAAACAAAATCTCAGTTAAACTGTACTTCCTCTTTACTGGGTCGTGAGCAGCTCAGTGTTGCGCCTGGTACAGGTTTCTGTCTTCTACTGTTGATACAGCACAGCCACACCTGAGTTCAGCGTGTAGAAAGAGGAAGGATTTCTCACCTGCCATAGGAAAGGAACGTGTTACAGAATGAGTTGTCTTAATAACAGCTATAATGAATGCAGAATCTGTATTCCTGGCAACAGCAAAAGAAACACAAACAACCAATGGAACAACGGCATCATACTATTATTTACTTATTTTGCATTTGATATATATTATTCTTGTTCGCTGCATATGCAATCTGAGTGTACAGCAAGGCTGCAGGGTCCTGCAAAACCAATTTACCTTTCATATTAGGTACCATATCAATCTCAAAAGAATATTGTTCATAAGTGGGCTTAGTAATATTTTTAAGTGGATCAGTATGTATGGTATGTATTGTTCAGATTCACCCTTTGGTCTCGTGTGTGGATTTTTGAATTTATTCATGCAAAGCCTTAGTAACCTGCTCCTTTCAGGAAGTGTATTTTGTGTGGAATGCATTGTACCTCTGTTTTGTTCTCAGAATGAGCTTCCTGAACCAGAGCAAGACAATGGTGGCACAACCGAGTCCGTGAAAGAGCAAGAAATGAAGTGGACAGATTTGGCTCTCCAGTATCTCCATGAGAATGTTCCACCCACGGGAAACTAGTTAAAAATCAGTGAGATTTCATGCAGTGGATGCATGAATACAATATAAAAAATATTTTTCAGCTGACCATCACTGTCATAAGCTTCTTTAAGGAGGAAACATTTCTGAAAAAGGCTCAGATTCAAACAATGGTTCTATGCACAGTGACCAAACACAGTTTAAAATGCTTCTATAATGAGTGTGAAATAACAACGACTGACACCTCAGAGCTAATATCAGAATGCTTCTCTTATGTAAAATTATTTTATATCTTGTTAAGTTGTTCTTAAGTTGGTGCCAATTCTGGTCTTAAATGTTTTCTAGGTGTGATAAAAGAATGTCATTTTTACTGTCTCGAGTTGTTATTGGTTTCAAAGCTCACAGTGGGATCACTTCTAAGTCCAAAGGCTCATGTCCCAAGAAGTATTCCTGTGTATTCTGTGGTTAGACTTCAGTATACACCAAACAAACAGCCGTGAGTCAGTTGTTACCATCTTTAACTAGTGTGTGACTGAGGAAGGTTGTGTGGGGCAGGTGTGGGAGACTGGTCAACGGGATTCAAGAGCTGGAAGTAATCTGTAAACACTGGTGGTTATTTGAACTCCTCATGTCAGGATGGGATAGTGGTGGACAGCATTTCCAGTGCTGACATCCTGGGTACGTTCACTGAAAACAGCCAGCCTAATTTATGCTACAATGGTCAAAGTCTGTCTTTTGAGGGATGATTAAGTGTTAGAGGGAAGAGCCTGCCAGCCCCAGTGTACCACCTATTGAACTGATAGCCACTTGGATGAGCTCTCTCAGATGGGAAATGGAAATCTGAGGAAAGTGATGTGGAAAAGAAACAAGGAGGGCTTAGCTTCAAGCAATAAATTGTTACCTCTTTTTGTGCTGAGAAGAAAGGCAAGGCCCCCTTGATTTCTTTTATCTCATTTTATCTCTGATTCTCAAATGTCTTTTGCAATAGGTAGAAGCCTTCTGTTCATCTTGCATGTTTCAGTGTTGGACCGATTCCTTCGCACCATTGGCAGGACTTGCTAAGGAGAAAATATTTTGACAGAGTTTAGGATTACTGGTGGAGGTGAGAAAGGAACTGGAAGGAAAACAATGTTTAAAAGGATTTCCTTTTGCCAGTGCATCAGAAAAAGCATTTTCCTGGAGCTTGCAGCTTCCAGACTCCACAGAAGTTTCTTGGTGTCTTTGCTCAATGTTTATCCTCTTCAAAATAAAAACCAACTTTTGCCTGTGTGATTACCAGATGGAATCACAGCATGGCACATGTCCTGTGAGACTGTCATTGCTAAACTGCATGAGGATGGAGAGCTCAAGGTGCTTGTGAAAAAGTTCTGTATGTGGCTGGGTTTGTGCCTCTGAGGTGTAATCTGTGCCTGCACCAGACAAGCAGAACACACTTGTCTGAACAAGAAGGAGCTGCAGACAGCCAGCAGGCAGAGTTAAGGATTCACCCAAGAAGTAGCAAAGTCAAAAGCCTTCATATGTACAGCATGGACCAAAGAAGCAGCAATGCAACTGGGAACTGTAATAGTTCAGCTCCTCATTGGATCATCAGCAGGGGGAAAAAAAAAGAGCCTGTGGTTAAGGAGGTGTTTCCGATCCTCCCCATGTTCCCTTTCCCTGGCCCATGCTAGAAGAATTTGCTAAGAAAACATCATCATACAGCTTCTATCCAGTAGTCATCCCTGTTTGCTCTTCCCCTCCACTCTCACCCTTTTACAAACTCCCCACCACCCTCGTCTTCCCAATTTTTGCCACTAGATCTTCCAGCTCCAATTTCAGCTTTTCTTTCCTTGCCCCTGACAGCTGTCTTTGCATCTGCCACCTTCTTCCTCCTGTCTAGCATGGAAAACAAATAGCCATTCTTACTTGAATTAGAGTTGGATTCGTGAGATTCCAGTGGGTCTGCCAGAAGACTGGATATTAGGATTTTAGACTGGCTCTTAGGAAGTATTTCCTTGCAGAAGGGGCTGTTGGGCATTGGAATGGGCTGCCCAGGGCAGGGGGGGAGTCCCCATCCCTGGAGGGGTTGAAGAGTCAGGTCGACTTAGTGCTGAGGGATCTGGTGGAGTTGGGAATGGTCAGGGTGAGGTTCATGGTTGGATTGGAGGAGCTTCAAGGGCTTTTCCAACCCAGATGATTCTGTGATTCCCAACCCAGATGATTCTGTGATTTTGTAAAACTGGTGGGGATGCCAGATGTACCAGTGTCATCCAAGACAGCAGTTGCCTGGCAGCCCAAGTGAGGCCCAGACTGACTGGAAGTGGTACCTCCCCTTTGCAGGACACAGCACTGGCTTCGCCTCCCCCTGAGGGGACAGGGACTGTAGGTGAGAAGAGGTGAGAAGGGATGCTGGAGTGCCCCAGGGGTCCGGGGGTGGGGGGGTTGGGGGAG